GAGGTTTCAAGTGAGCCTAGATCTCGCCATTGCACTCCAGCCTGGGTGACAAGAGCAGAACTCTTGTCTCAAAAAAAAAAAAAAAAAAAAAAAAAGATGAGAGAGCTTGTGCACACTCTCTCCACTATGTGAGGGCAAAAGAAGGCAACCATCTACACACCAGCAAGAGTGCCCTCACTAGTCAGTGAAGCTGCTGGTATCTTGATCTTGGAATCTGCAGCCTTTGGAACTGAGAGAAATAAGTATCTGTTGTTTAAGCTGCCCAGCCTGTGGTACTTGATTATGGCAGCCTAACACAATGTAAAATGAAGCTTGGTTCTGCTTCCTGGTTGTTTATTAAGGAGCAGATTGGGGAAGGAAATTGGGAGGAAGAAATTCAAAAATTAACAAATCTTGACAACTCTGAATTACTGATTTAAGGGTTGTAAAGATGTACAGGCAGGCAGGCACCAAGAGTATTGGATTTGTCAGAATCTGCATGATCAGTGCAATTTGAGAACTGTAGCTGTGAGCTGAACATGATCCTCCTAGACCGTGAGCTGTCCTTCTCAACCTGAAATAAAAAGCTATCATTCTGAATAAGTGTATGTATGCAGTTTATTTTAAAACTTCAGATCACACTCAAATCATACCTTGATGTGCAGTCTACACCCATCTCATCCCAGAAACCATTTTTAATAGACGTTCTTTGTTATTTAAAAAAAAAGAATTTTGAGGCAGAGTCTCACTGAGTTGCCCAGGCTGCAGTTCAGTGGCACAATCTTGGCTCACTGCAACCTCTGATTTCCAAGTTCAAGCAATTCTCTGTCACCCAGGCTGGAATGCAGTGGCGCGATCTCAGCTCACTGCAACCTCTGCCTCTTGGGTTCAAGAGATTCTCCTGCCTTAGCCTCCAGAGTAGCTGGGACTACAGGTATATGCTACCATGCATGGCTAATTTTATTTTTAGTAGAGATGGGGTTATACTATGTTGGTCAGGCTGGTCTTGAACTCCTGACCCTGTGATCCGCCCACCACGGTCTCCCAAAGTGCTGGAATTACAGGCGTGAGCCACTGCACTTGGCCTAATTTTTGTATTTTAGTCGAGACGGGGTTTCACCATGTTGACCAACCTGGTCTCAAGCCCCTGACCTCAGGTGATCCATCTGCCTTGGCCTCCCAAAATGCTGGGACTGTAGGCATGAGCCACTGTACCTGCCTAAACGGGAATTTAAAAGAGTCTGTTTCTCAAGACTTTTGCAGTTTGGCAATTGAATCAATGCATACGTATAACCTCTTGGCTATAATATCCTACTACCGTGAAGGATTCACTTTATTATATTAGTATAGCCTTCATTATTTTTACATTTATGTTCATAAGTTATTCTGTAATTTTCTTTTTCCTTGCTGTCTTTGCCATATTTTAGGTCAAGTTTTTTTGGACAATGTCTTACTGTGTTGCCCAGGCTGCAGTTAAGTGGCACAATCTTGGCTCATTGCAACCTCTGCCTCCCAGGGTCAAGCGATTCTCATGTCTCAGCCTTTGGAGCAGCTGGGATTACAGGCATGCCCAGGTAATTTTTATTTTTAGTAGAGACAGGGTTTTACATGTTGGCCATGGTTGGTCTCGAACTCTTGGCCTCAAGTGATCTGCCTTCTTTGGCCTCCTAAAGTGCTGGAATTATAGGTGTGAGCCACCACGGCCAACCTAATAGAGACTCTTTCACTATGCAGTGAGCTGCATACAAGATGCAGGCAAAGTTAGCAATCACCATCATCTCTGTTGTCCCTATCAGACTGACAGAGGGCATGAAACCTTATGTACCTACTAGTCATCTCAACACCACATGACAAGGAGGACATTAAAATGAAGTTCAGTCCAGAATTTCAGGGTGATCTCCCAAAATATATATTTGCATACATTTGCCTGAGATGCATGCAGATTCCCTATGTGGTTTCAATACTTCTAACACCTGAGCATGAAGTCTGTTCCAAGAGGTCCTCAAAGTTCTCACTCTTGGGAGCTATGTTGCTGATGTTCCAGATAATTTGTCCTTGTTTATCAGTTTCCTCAGCTTCCTTCTAAGTCAGGGGCTGTCTTGTGCTGAGATCCTGTGGTTCCTCCTGGACTGTGGTTTCTTTGCCTTTGAAGACATCCAGTTTCTGGGCTCTGGTCCTGGCACCTCACCAGAACAGTACTGTCTCTTACATTTTCAGGATCCAAAAAGAGAAACTGATCTACAGTAATGTAAAATAGCATATATGGGTGTTCACCACAAACTGGTATCACACTGTGTTGAGAATTTTCATTTTCGCTCACCACTGATATTCAGGGTGATTCTGCCTTATTTACTTTGCCTCAGGACATGTCTTCACGACCAGGTGCTCAACATACTAGGCTTCCTCAAGGATGGGCAGGGATTCTTGCCCTGATCATGGACAACTACAAGTCTCTCAGGTTAGACGCCACGGAAACAAGAAGGAAAATAAGAGAATGACAAGAAAAATGAGACATGAAGATTCCTGACATTTGGTCAAGGCCTAAAGACTCCTAGAAGGCCTCTGGTGGACTTAATGCATTTCCTAGAGCCAATTGTTTCTGATGACCCTGAAAACAGGGGTTTGACTGGATGTCAGGCTATGAGACTACATGCAAACAGTGGTTGGCTCTCCAGAAGGAAATTAGTGCTGCCCATTTTTTCCATGAACAGCTATCAAACTAGGCTACAAAAGGATATATTAAAAACATTATAAACTTGGAACCAACCCAAATGACCATCAGTGATAGACTGGATAAAGAAAATGTGGCACATACATACCATGGAATACTATGCAGCCATAAAAAGGATGAATTCATATCCTTTGCAGGGACATGGATGAAGCTAGAAACCATCATTCTCAGCAAACTAACACAAGAACAGAAAACCAAATGCCACATATTCTCACTCATAAGTGGGAGATGAACAATGAAAATACATGGACACAGGGAAGGGAATATCACACATGGGGCCTGTCAGGGGGTGCAAGGCTAGGGGAGGGAAAGTATTAGGAGAAATACTAATGTAGATGATGGGGTGATGGATGCAGCACACCATCGTGGCATGTATAACTGTGTAACAAATGTGTGTGTGTGTGTGTGTGTGTGTGTGTGTATACATATATATATATATATACACATATATATACATGTATGTATTATAATATGGATATAAAGTGAGATATCCATATATATGGATATAAAGGAAGGCCTGAATCAGCATTAGAGATCAGAGAACCTATGGCTTTGGGGGTAACATGAGCTGAGAACTCAAATGTAACAAAGATATTAGGCAAGAGGGCAAATACCTCCAGAAAAATGGGTGGTGTAAGAATCAGCACTAGGTTTTGGAGAAGGCTAACTGCCTCATCTGTGCAGCTAAGAGAGATGAACTAAGTGCACTGTCATAATAACCATGTTGTAGAAGTTGAGGACAGAGGCTGGGGATAGAGAACACAGAACTGTTGATATGATTCTAGCTCATATTTTAAATTTGGGCAAGAAAGTTATGGAAGAGGACTCCATATGACTAAAATCTCTATAACTCCATAACGAAGGTAGTTTTCCTCACTGTACAGTTGCTCTTTCTGTCTGGGAATAAAGTTGGGACCCATTTCTACATTAAAGGCCTTACAAATATTATGGAGAACCCACTAATCTAGGGCAGTTTTTGTTCTGTATTCTCTGATGTGTTTCCTGAGTACAGCGCTGCAGGGCAGAAACTATGGTAGTCACACTGTTCACAGCTTTGCTATAAACGTCAGCTTCCCAGACCCAGGACTTGTTAGTGAGGTGGTGCAGTTATTATCCAAGCAGCTAGGGGACCCAGACCTGATGGCCTTAACTGTCTTTCAGTGATATGAACCACCAGTTAAGTCAGATTGGTCTGAAAGGCCTTAGAAACTTAGGATGCCTTTAGAATGCAGGGAGGATCTGGAAGTGAGGGTCAGGTTGAGGGCATCAGGTAGTGGTGCACAGTCACACTTCCTAGCACAGCCCATAGTGCTTCTTCTATGACTGGCCCATCTAAAGTAACATGACAACTTCACTGGTGAGATAAAGCACTTAAGATATACTTCTGTAACCCTCTCAGAAGGCATTAACTAGGTAACCTACTAGTGAAGTAGCTCAGGTGACAGAACACTGTTACTTAGGCTTTCAATTGCATAGTCCCTTTGCCTGTCCTGTTCCCCCAGCTCACCTGCACTTTGAGATTTGGACATACACTGAATTTGTACCTTGCTCAGGCTGCATGTGCACTGTGTAATAGTGTTAGAAAGCATGTGGGTAGTGTCTGACAGATGCAGGAGAAAATTTGGGTTACTAAATATGAGACTTAGGGCAAGTAATTTTCTAGACTTCATTTTTCTTATCTGAAAATTGGGGACAACATAATGTACCTCTTAGATGTGTTATGAAGACTAATTTAAAGGAAATAGCGTTTGTCAAACATTTAGGAAAACATCTGATACACAGGCAATGTAAACTGATATTCATATGTCTATTATAGTATTATTAGTATAGATATAAAAAGATGACATTCATTTTCTTTCCTTTTCCTTTTTGAGAGAGGGTCTCACTTTGTCACCCAGGCTGGAGTGCAGTGGCACTATCACGGCTCACTGCAGCCTTGACCACCCTGACTCAAGAGATTCACCCACTTCTGCCTCCCGAGTAGCTGGGACTACAGGCATGCACCACTGTGCCTGGCTAATTTTTTGTACTTTTTGTAGAGATGGGTTTTGCCATGTTGCCCAGGCTGTTCTCAAACTCCTGGGCTCAAGCAAGCTGCTCGACACTGCCTCCAAGAGTGCTGGGATTACAGGTGTGAGCCACTAATCACTAAAAGGCCAATATTCCTTTTCTAATTAGGTTTATTTTTGAAGCACACATGGCTTTAATTGGCTTTTGTGGAAATTTACTTCATTCAGCCCCAATAAATACAGACACAAATTATTCTCTGTAGAAAATACTTCCATCTCACCTTACTTGCTTCATTGATGATTTGGAACCTGGTGCTGTCTTCAACTGTTGTGACTGAGTCTAGTAATACCTGATAGGTGGACTTCTTGGAAAGCCACTGTTTCTGACGCCTATAGATACATAGTAAACAGATGTTTGATAATTATTTGTGATTGTCAATATCTAACAGACTGATATGTGGAAGTCATTAAAATTCACTCTGATATTCAGTGAATTTCAGGGCACAAACCATACTGGTACTACAATAAAGTACTAATCAGAAACTTTATTATTAGAGTGCTATTAAGATGAGTATTAGTAAGAAAACTAATAAAAGTGATTAATATAACATTGCTCAAAGGATGACATCTTGTATCCTTTATTGAGAAGGTTGGGCAATTTTCATAGATGACATTTGTGAGCTTGCTAATTTCCTTCCCTCTTTCCACTTTAATGGACTTTAATAGTACTCAACAATTTGCAGTGGGAATTCAATATAATCTAGTAGTTTAACAAGGTCACCAGGCATTCACTGTAGACTTCTCTCTAGATATCTGTTCAGAATTAAAATAATATGCTTTTCTTCCTATAGAACAGAGAGTGAATACATTAGAAAGCTATACTAGCTGGGTGCAGCGGCTCATACCTGTAATACCAGCACTTTGGGAGGCAGAGGTGGGCAGATCACCTGAGGTTGGGAGTTTGAGTCTATCCTGACCAACATGAAGAAACCTGTCTCTACTAAAAATACAAAATTAGCCAGGTGTGGTGGTGCATGCCTGTAATACCACCTACTTGGGAGGCTGAGGCAGGAGAATCACTTGGACTCGGGAGGAGGAGGTTGCAGTGAGTTGAGATTGCACCATTGCACTCCAGCCTGGGCAACAAGAGCAAAACTCTGTCTCAAAAAAAAAAAAAAAAAAAAAAAGAAAGCTACACTAGATAATTTTTGATGATTTCACTTTCAAGATCACATAAAAGAAGACATTTTAAGCCGGGCGCGGTGGCTCAAGCCTGTAATCCCAGCACTTTGGGAGGCCGAAGCGGGTGGATCACGAGGTCAAGAGATCGAGACCATCCAGGTCAACATGGTGAAACCCCGTCTCTACTAAAATACAAAAAATTAGCTGGGCATGGTGGCGCATGCCTGTAATCCCAGCTACTCAGGAGGCTGAGGCAGGAGAGTTGCCTGAACCCAGGAGGCGGAGGTTGCGGTGAGCCGAGATCGCGCCATTGCACTCCAGCCTGGGTAACAAGAGCGAAACTCCGTCTCAAAAAAAAAAAAAAAAAAAAGAAGATATTTTTTTAAAATGAAGATTTTAAAGATGTATTTTTTGCAGCCCTGGAGAAACAGGCAATTTTTTTTTTTTTTTTTTTTGAGATGCAGTTTCACTCTTGCTGCCCAGGCTGGAGTGCAATGGTGCCATCTCAGCTCACTGCAACCTCCACCTCCCAGGTTCAAGCAATTCTCCTGCCTCGGTGTCCTGAGTAGCTGGGATTATAGGCTTGGGCCACTGTGCCTGGTTAATTTTGTACTTTTAGTAGAGATGCAATTTCCCCATGTTGGTCGGGCTGGTCTCAAACTTCCGACCTCAGATAATCCGCCTGTCTCAGCCTCCCAAAGTGCTGGGATTACATGCGTGAGCCACCGCACCCGGCCAGGCAATCTTATATAATGGTGATAGGAATACAAATGGTATAATTCCCATAAAGGGAAATCTGGTAATAGTTAACACATTTCAAATGCATTTACTCTTTGACCCAGTAATCCCACTTCTAGAAATGTATCCTATAAATACACCTCCATGTGTAGAAAATGACCTATGTATAGCTCTTCATTGCGGTAGTGTTATTTTAGCAATAGATTAAAAATAACCCAGGGGCCTAGCAATAAGAGACAGATTGAATAAATTATATTAATAGTACATCTACCCAATGGAATATTATGCAGCTGTAAAAAGAGGAAACAATCTCCATGTACTCATACGAATTGCTCCTCAGAACAAACTATACAGCAGGAAAAAAAAAAACCTATTTGGTATAAGAAAGGGGTGATAAAAAAAAAGACGGAATAATATAAAAATACATATATTCACAAAAAAATACTAGAAGCATAAACAAAAAATGAAGAAATTTGATTACTTGGAACAAGATGAGGACTGAGTGGAAGTAACATTTTTCAATGTATATATCTTGATATTATTTTTGAACCATGTAAAAGTGTTATCTATTCAAAGCATTAACATTTAAAAACTAGTTTAAAACTATTTTGGCTTTTAAAATAAAATAGCTGTTTACTGAAAAATTTAAATACTTCAGGAGTAAATGTATAAGGTTAAAAGTGAGCCATCTAGGCCGGGCGCGGTGGCTCAAGCCTGTAATCCCAGCACTTTGGGAGGCCGAGGCGGGTGGATCACGAGGTCGAGAGATCGAGACCATCCTGGTCAACATGGTGAAACCCCTTCTCTACTAAAAATACAAAAAACTAGCTGGGCGTGGTGGCGCGTGCCTGTAATCCCAGCTACTCGGGAGGCTGAGGCAGGAGAATTGCCTGAGCCCAGGAGGTGGAGGTTGCGGTGAGCCGAGATCGCGCCATTGCACTCCAGCCTGGGTAACAAGAGCGAAACTCCGTCTCAAAAAAAAAAAAAAAAAAAAAGTGAGCCATCTGATGATTTCCTTAATTATTTAATTATCCTTTCTTTGGAAAGTCTATCAGTTTTCGAAAATTTACTAAGCATCAATTTTGAAATATTGTCAGTAATATTTCATGTAGGTACTATATTTATTTTCCTTACCTGTAAAATGCGATCCTGTTGCAGTCTCTGAAAATGTTTTTATCCACAGCTTCATCTTTGACACTAAATAAAAAGATATTTTGAGAGATTTATTTTACACAGGGTTTGTGAGTCCAATTTTTGTACCTTCTCTAACTATAGTATGAACATGCGAAATAAACCTTTGGAGTCTATTCTGCAAAGCAAAACTGTCTCACGGCCATAGTATATCATAATAGCACATTATGCTTCAGGAATAATAACCTTTCGTAAATCCTCTGAGGTAAACGACAAAACATCAAGTTCTGGGATTACTCTGAAAGTAATGGGAAAAGAGCACTGTCACTTATGAGGACATATTTTTTGGAAATAGTACTGAAGGTTATGACTGCAAAAGTAAAACCTGAGGGAGCCAAACCAAAATCAACCAACCAGACAAACTAACAACCACAACCCACTGACTGATTTATTAAAAAAATATATTTTCAGAATATTCTTCCTGGGTTATAGGCTCTGGGGAAGATACGGACAGTGTTCGAGTGTTTTACCAGCAATAACAATACAAGCTGACAAATGCTTTAACAGAGGTGCAAGGTGCTAGAATAAGAACAGAACAGATGCAGAGGGGAAATCTCTTTTTTTTAAGGATAAGGTGACAATCTAAGGTCCAAAGTTTTTTAAAACCAAGTTTCCAAAAGAGCTATATCTGGAATAAAACATGAACAAGATGTACGTATATTGTAGTTTGAGTACACATATTTAAACTACCTTCCATCTGATTAAAACAACTACAGATTATAAGCAGAAAAAAATAACACTGGTTTTCAGGCACTGCTGTGACCGCATCTGTAGTCAGCATGTTCTTGATTATGTAGAAAGCTATGACTGAACACAACAGACGAAAAAAACAAGCCTAGGCAGATACACTTGGCCATACTAAAAAACTGTTTATCCTTCATTGAACTCAGTCTTTGTCAGTTTATTTTAAAAGTATTTTTGAGACAGGATCTTGCTTTGCCGCCTAGGTTGAAGAAAAGTGGCGTGATCTCAGCTCACTGCAACCTCCACCTCCTGGGCTCAAGCTATCCTACAGCCTCAGCCTCCTAAGTAGCTGGGACTACAGGGCCACATCACCACATCTGGCTAATTAAAAACTTTTTTTTGTAGAGACAGGGATTCACCATGTTGCCCCAGGCTGGTCTTGAACTCCCGGGCTCAAGCAATCTGCCCACCTAGGCTTCCCAAAGTGCTGGGATTACAGGTATGAGCAACTCGGCCCAGTTTATGTTAATCAAGTGCACAAAGATTGGAGAATCTTCTGTTTCCTCTTTCCAGCTTTGAAGAGTTAACTCTGGGATGATATAGAAAGAGGTGGTTGTAGCTGAACTTGGAAAGCAACATGCCTGAAATTCACGTGTTACGAGTTCACATTGCAACGTTTCCACTGTTAATGTTATTTAACCATCCTCTTTTTTTGGAGACAGGGTCTCACTTTATTGCCCAAGCTGGAGTGCAGTGGCAAGATCACAGCTCACTCCTGGTCTCAAGGGATCCTCCACTGGTCTCCTAAGTAGCTGGGACTACAGGTGTGTGCCACCAGTCCCAGCATTTTTGTTGTTGTTGTTGTTGTTTTTGCAGAGACAGGAGTTGGAGGGGAGGGCCGGTGGTGGTGGTGGGGTTCTCCCTAGATTGCCCAGGTTGGTCTCGAACTCCTGGACTCAAGTGATTCTCCCGCCTTGGCCTCCCAAAATGCTGTGGGATTACTTGCGTAAGCCACTGCACCTGGCCTATTTAACCATCCTGAAAGTATTTTACGAGAGGCTATTAATATCGACTAACTCCCTGCAAACTGAGAGAAAAGATAAAGGTGAGCAAATACCAAACATGCAAATAAGAAGTGCAATTTAAAAAAAATCAATGAAATCTTCAAAGCCAAAATGTTTTCAGGTACTACCCCGTTTCTGGGGACCCTGGGGTCAGTCACTGCAGGAGCACTTGGCCTTTACCTGATTTCCTCCTTCTCAGCTGCTTCCATGGCTTCTCTATCACTCCGAACAGCTTCCAGCTCTTAGGCCAAGGCCCTGGGCGATCTTTTTAAAAAGCCAATTAGCTGTCCTTCTAAAATTACATCCAGCACTTCACCTTCAAGTTTCCGGGAAGGGAGTCCCCCTCCAGATCCCCATGGAGTGACAGACCTTAAGTCTTGCTCCTGGAATTTTTCAGGCCCAAACTGGCGTTTCTACAAGATTTATTTGGCAAATTTGTCTTGATTATGGGTGGCTGAGGAGGAAAGTGCTTTTGTTAGGAACCGAAACTGTCAGTGCGGTGGTGAGGGAGGGTAAGCAATAAACCGTAGAGGGTAAAAATCAAGAGCGTGAGAACCAGAAAATGCCGAAACGGCCCCTGGTCGGGACGAAGCATCTGCAGGTCTACCTCAGTGGCGGGGTCACGCCACGGGACCCTCTCTGTACCAGTTTTCGGTGAAGAGTGGGAAGTGTCGGCCCAGTCTGTGCTGGAGTTTAGGTCACCGGCCAGATTCTACTGCAGCATCGTACTCCTCAGGACTACAAGGTGTCTTCGAATGTACACCACCCAGTCCAGGAATCGCGTGTACTCCACCACCGCCGAATTCCAGCCTTTGCTTAAATACCACCCACACCGGAGAACTCACTACTAGATGCCAATTAGGTAGCCAGATTTAGGGCTTTTCTAGACTTTCTGGCCCCAAAGTCTGACAGACTTAGAAGGGATGAGGAGCTGGGGCGGAGCGGGAGAAGTAGAGACACAACTCCCGCACGGGGTGTCTGCCTGGTCCCCCAACCCTCTAAGGGTCGGGAGAGAGAAAAGACCCAGGACAGGATGGCATCTGGTGATCTCCCTAACCCAGCTGACCAGGTTCCAACGGGACGACGCCTGCGCTGTAGGTCCAAAGTCTCGAGGCGCACAGACGACTGTGTGAGGGAGGGGTCGCTAGTTCACACGGCAAACAAAAACCGCGAGGTTTCCAGGACCCGGATGATCCCGCCCTGAGAGCAGAGCCGGAAGAAGGCGGGACGAACCGGAAGAAGGTGAAATGCTTTCGGTAGGCACTCAACGGCTGTGAAGATGGCGGCGGCTGCGTGCCTTCAGGTGTTCCCTGTCATCCTTCTGCTTCTGGGAGCTCAGCCGTCCCCACTGTCGCTTTTCAGTGCGGGACCGGCACCGGTGGCTGCTGCCGACCGGTCCAAATGGCACATTCCGATACCGTCGGTGAGTATTCACTTCACTGGCGTCTGAACCTAGAGGAGTAAGGGGTGGGGCTACGGCGGCCCAAGGGGTCCATGAATGTTCCGCAAAAGTCTTTTCAAAAGGGGTGGGGTTGCCGGGAAGGTCTGTGTCATTGGCCCACTGGGACTCACCTACCTGGAGCGGAAAGCCGCGCACTTTTGTGGTTAGGCTGGAGGGGAATATCAGGGCTATCTCAGTAACAGAAAGGAGTGGTGGAACGGTTTCTCCTCAGAAAAGCAGAACTTTCAGTGCCTGCCTTGAAATGTAAACTAGATGTACAGACGGAGAGTGGTTTGTCTTTCGGATTGTTTCACAGAATCCTGTATCAGAATCCTGTAATCCCGGGTTGGATAAGAGAGATATGTAAATAGGAGTATTCATTTCTTTCTTTTTTTCCTCTGCACTTCTTTGGTCCCTGATTAATTCTACTTGAGAGATCGTTCGACTTCGCTTCAACTTTTGCAATGGCTATTCTAAGCTTTACTGTGTGACTAGAAACCATAGAGATTTTTAAAGTGTGTTTAACATGGGAGTGGTTAAAACGCAAGAAATGGCACTTAAAATTTAATGTGGTAAGGCTAGTCTTTTATTTGGACAATTAGCTATATGGGTTGAACCTTTCTGCCCCGTACCCATTTTAAATCTTATTTCAGTAACAGGTATAGTCCTGCGAGCAGGCAAAAACCAGAAGCAGTGACGAAATGCTGAAAAGCGTTACTTCCATTAAACCTACATTGGCCTTTTTGTTTCATTCTGCTGTCTCACTGATTGTAATGTCCAAATCGTGTTTGGACTTTTATATATGGCAGACATACCTTTAGTTCATTGGCGAAGATTTTTCATATTTTCAATTAGGTTTTTACTTGTCACTAAAATGGTTAATAATTTAGTCTTTATAGATTTGAAAATAAAATTGGTTATCTGCACATAGTTCATTTGAAAAAATGGTTGGTTATTCTGGGCAGTGATTGTTGAGTAAAAAGAATGAACTGATTAAGGGTTACATCCCATAAACATTTAAGTTAAGTTAGGATTTCTAGCAGCCTTAGATAGTTAAATTATGCCTTGGGAATTGAAGCCATCTGAGGCTAATTATGTTTCCTGTATCTTTGCAGGGGAAAAATTATTTTAGTTTTGGAAAGATCCTCTTCAGAAATACCACTATCTTCCTGAAATGTGAGTTTTTGAATTTCATGAAGTTTTAATTTGAATTTTAAAAATTTATAGGCAAATTTTTAAATTACCAAAAGTTTTAAATTACCTAAATTTTTTCATTTCCTTAGTTCTGAAATCTAATAGTATGGCATTATCTAGGTATAAATATTTTTAGTATAACTAAAAAGCCCTTTCACCAAATCATCTTCAAAATACTCGTGTGAACTTTATTTTCTTCTCTTGTTTTTCTGGTGTTTACACTGCGTACATATACACTATGTATACATTATATATTAGCATATATATGTTATATATAATATATATTCAGTAAATGAAAACATGTAATGTATATATTAGCATATATCCTGTATATATTACATTGAATCACGTCTCAGTTGAATTACATTTACAATTGATACAATCACGTCTCAGTTGAATTACATTTACAATGGATACATTCTGTGAAAAGCATCCTTAGGTGATTTTGTCATTGTGCAAACATCATAGAGTAAAAACTGGGTGGTACTACCCTGGTACAGCCTGTTGCTCCTAGGCTACAGACCTGTATAACATGTTACTCTACTGAATACTGGAGGCGCTTGTAAAACAATGGTAAGTTTTGTGTATCTAAAACGTAGATATACATATTTATAGATGTAGAAAAGTAGAGTACAAATACGATATTACAGTTCTATAGGACTACCATTGTATATGTAGTCTTTCATGTACCGAAATGTTACGCAGTGCGTGACTGTGATTATGTTGGGTGATTCTCTGCATGGTTGTTTTACTCTGTTCTGTGTAGACTAAAGAGGTTTTACTTTTGTGTGCTTGTTAAATGTTTACTGAAAACATGACCTAGCTTTGTCAGGCCATTGGCTGTGAAGTGATTATTTAGTAGATTTTATATTTACAAAAGGAATATTTTACTGCCTCAGAGGAGGAAGCTCAGATATTATCAGTAAACAGGGATTATGTAGAACAAAACTAGTTTGTCTAGTGGAAAAATGACTGTGTCTGAATCTAAAGTATCCCATCGTCTGTTAAATAAAAGCTTCTTTTTAGTTCTCCTTTTAGTTCTGAAACTGGCTTTAATTTAGAGAATGATCACTCATGGACAGCTTTATTTCTAGATGAGGGATAAAAATGTTGATGTTCAACGTGTGATACTATGCATACTCTTCATGAAATTGCGAAATAATAAGTCATAGTTGGATTATTTTCTTTCAATTGTTTCAAGTAAGTGATTATTAATTATTTATTACATAGACAGCAGGGAAGTGATAGAAAAATGTTCTTTCCTCATTGAGTTTGCATTCTAGTGGGAGTGAAAGCAGCTGGTAGAATTTCTCTGAAGAATATGCTATGTCCATGAATATATAATCTCCTGACCAATGGCTTACATTTGATTGGATCAAATCTACTCTGACAGTGGCCTTGTGAGATTGGTTTAATAGGTAACCTAGGTAACCTCGTAACCATTATCTTTTGGAATAGCATGACAGCCTGTTTGCTGTTCTATTCTTTTATTAGGTCCAGTCTTTTTTTCACTTGTTGTTTGATCTAACAGTGTTTTGTCAAATTAAACCAACTGCATTTTATTTTATTTATTTATGTTTTTTGAGATGGGAGTTTCTCTCTGTCACCCAGGCTAGAATGCAGTGGTGCAATCTTGGCTCAGTGCAACCTTCGCCTCCCAGGTTCCAGTGATTCTACTGCCTCAGCCTCCCGAGTAGCTGAGATTACAGGCTTGAGCCGCCTTCCCTGGCCCCAGCTGCCTATTCTGAAGTGTTTATATTTCATTGTTTTTGAAGGATTTGAGGCACTTCATTTTTTTGTTGTTGTTGTTTTCTGGGGGAGTCTTGCTGCTAGAGTATAGTGGCGTAATCTTGGGTCACTGCAACCTTCGCCTCCCAGGTTCAAGCAATTCTCCTGCTTCAGCCTCCAGAGTGGCTGGGACTATAGGCGTGTGCCACCATGCCTGGCTAATTTTTGTATTTTTAGTAGAGGTGGGGTTTCACCATATTGGCCAGGCTGGTCTTGAACTTTTGAACCTCAATTTATGTACCTGTCTGGGCCTCCCAAATTTCTGGGATTACAGGTGTGAGCCACCGTGCCCGGCCTGAGGCACTTTAAAATTTACATTCTGTTTTTCTTTGTTACTTCTGTGCTTTCTCATATTTAGCAGTTGTCTTTGATTTTGTACTTTTTTGGTGATGGTATATAGTTTCCCATGGAATAGCTGGGACCATTTTTATTGTCTCTTAGGGCCTTTCATTTAAAGTTCTAAATGTTGTCTTTTAACGTAAACAGCAGTATTTTTGCAGCCATATTTCCTGACAAGTCTCCTGTTTGGGGGTTGTGTTCTTACTGGCTTTTAATTAGTTAATCTTGTCTCTGTATGGATTCTTCTGAATAGTTCATAGCCCAATTTTCATATCCTTTTTATCATTTCCATAAATTCTATCCAACGGGTAGAATTGGGCTCAGTTTTCTTTTTTTTTTTTGCTTTGCATTACTCTGATGATGGGTCAGATTTTTTTAACATTCTAATAGAGTCCTTTGAAAATGTGTTGGTCATTTAAAAATTAGTTTGAGAAAACAGTTTAAAAGAAAGAAAAAAGGAAGTTTATAATTAGGTTGTTTCTTTTGTTGTGAACCAAAAGTAGATTCCTAAACGCAGTCATGTTTATTTTTGTTACATTTGTATAAAGTAGCTATTCCATAGCTAGAATCAGAGATAAAAGTGAATACTGACTGCTCCAGCTAATCAGTTGTATAGTCAGATTTACCTTCCCAAGTCTTCAGAATAATGTCTTGATCCATTACACTGCTGTGTTCCAAACTGTGTTTATTGAGTTTTATGATGCTTCCATGATAACATGAGGTTCCTTGAAGCCTCTTTTAAGGTAGGCTTTGAAAAAA